AAAGATTCGCCTATTGCATATAGATTAGCGAATTAAATTGCGATTTGCAAATTGATGTATGGCCACGGGAAGTCGTATATTTATTTCAATTTACAATATCTGTTAAAGTAGTCTATAATAGCTTATCAACAGTAACCACTGTATTGGCCAATGCCGTATTGATAGCTGTCATTCTTGTGTTGACATTTTACTTGATTGATTATTTATTATTGAATAGTTACTTAAGACACTCGAATCAACAAACTCGAAAGAAATCGCAAAAACATTTTATAGGAAACATATGTACACGGTTAGATAGTACTTGCAATAAAATTTATGATAAAATTATTTACGTAGTAGGTACTTCATAGTGGAATTCATTTTGAAACGTCCACCTAACATTAATTAAAGTACCCGGTAGACAATTCTTTATTTGGTATATTAAAATCATATGAGCTATACATAATATAGTGTATTTCTCAAGTTGTAGTTGACTTCACAATTTCACATAAGAAAACAGATATCGAATGCAATATTTTAATTGAAATATAATAATTTAATATGCTTAATCAATTAACTGGATAGAACATAGTCTAAATAACGTACACTCGTAAAAAGAGCATTCGCGTGACTTATTGCCAACCTTTATTGATCATGAAATATTACAAAATATTTACTGCAACTAGTGAAATTGATGTTTGAAGTGCGATTAATTATAAAAGTATTAAATAATGAAGAAATAAAATTATATAACATGAGCAATAAGCAACACTTTCTTACGCAAATGCCAGTCACTCATTAGTGTGATTCATATTATATTGTTAATAATATGGTTAGATTGGACCGATGTTTTTTATAAAAAAAAATGTTATAAATTTTAATTAATTGTGATTGTGAAAAGTTGTGGCAGAATTTTCCAGTGTATAATAACAGATAAGAAAATTGACCATTTTTCTAGCACAAAAATCAACCATCAGGTTTATTAAATTTTAGACTTTTCGATTCCAATTTTATTTACCAAAAAGATAAAAGCAGTGTGTTAATAATTAAATCATTTAGCAAAATCTCACTCATACGGGTGAAATCATTACCGAAAACTTTCAGTGCACATGACTTCTTGCGAAACATTTAGACTATAAACTTTGCATTAAAAAGGTCCCCTGGCTTGTGATGATCCCGAAGCGAAACATTTTAAATTGACATTTCGATACGAGTGAAATATTACAGGTATACGAACACACCTGATACAATAAACATTTCGTAACGAATTCATCACACTTAAAATGCATCGAAGATGCACACGGCGAATAGGTCACTGGCACACGGATTATCTTCAGACGGGAGAATCGCTAATCTTAAGTCCATTTATAAAAGAGACCAAAATTATTAATATTATTCAAGCATCCAGCATTGTGTTTAGTTAAACTAACAGTTTATAAAACAATGAAATTGTAAGTGGTTTTGATTGCTGTTGAAACAATAAATAAAAACTAGTGGGGTGCATGGCATCGTGCCTTAAGGCAAATTGCTAGAACTTCCCGTACCGTAATTAAACGCTTGAGGAATGAAAATAATCAATAATTGTTCTGAATAAGTTCAAATAGATTATTTATTATAAATACATAATGTAAAATTGTAAGTGGGCATCGAGCGTATTTTATAAACAACTTATATGCACGTTTACAAGAAAGTCCATTTTTTTAAATTTGCTTTTTCTGATAATTTAGAAATTTTTTGATAATTTAGATTTTTTTTTCAAAATTTTGAATTTTTTTTAGAAGTTTGAAATTTTTTGGAATTTAAAAAAAAACGTTTTTTCTAAATTTGGAAATTTTTGAAAATATTCGAATTTTTTTAAAAAAAATTCGAAATCATCTCGAATTTTTGTAAGAAATCGTTTTTTTTTAAATTAGACGTTTTTGAAATTTTTCAAAATCGAGCTTTTTTTGAAAATTATGAAAAAATTCGAAAATTTGATTTTTTTTGAAAATTTGGAATTTTTTTCTGAAAATTTGGAATTTTTTTTGAAAATTTTCACATATTTTCTGTAAATGCATTTTTTGCACACCGTCCACTCAAGCAAAATGTTTGAGATGATCATGACCATTTTTACACCCTCCATTCGCGCTCCATTCTTCCGAAACGGCAAAATTATGCAAAAACTCCTCACGATCGAGTACGAACCGAATATTTTCTCAATCACACAAGATCGGTTATTCCATACTGTTGGAAATGTCGAGGACATTTGTTTGAACCATATGCGTGAATTTTGAAATTAAAAATCTTGGTGCGGAACCCCAAAAAAATACACAAAATGTGTACACATTATTTAAATCTCTATAAAATATCTGATAATTTGATGTACATATGTTCAATGAACAATTTTGACCGCCAAATGGCCTTTTAACTTCCCGTAGGGTAGTTATAGTATTGGGCCGAAAATCAAAAATGAAAATTTTTGCATTTCTCGACGTTTTGAAGGTTTCTGAACATTTTGGCATACCTCAGAAAAAATGGATGTGTGTGTGTGTTTTGTATGTCCGCATTTTTTCGTCCACGTTAAGGGCGCACGGATCAACCGATTTGAATGGTTTAAAAAACATTCGATTCCTATTAATAGGGAGATGTGCTGATTAGGTTTTGGCAAAGGCAGGTCCAGCCGTTAAGGAGATATGGAGCAAAGAGTTTTTGAAAGAACAGAGCGTCCGATTTTAATAAATCGAAAAACATTTTACTTGTATTGACGAAATGAACAACTGGTAAAATTTTTGGGAAGGCAGGTTCAGCGGTTATGGACTATCAATAAAAATAAGTTAAAAACTAGTGGGGCGCATGTTAATCAGTTAATAGTTAATAGTAAATAGTTGAATAGTAAAGTAGTAATAGAATGTACAGTGAATAATTAATATTATTAAATAATAAATAGTGAATAGTGATAACTGAATAATTATATAGTTAGTAGTTCAATAGTGAATAGTTAATAGTGAATAGTAATAAGTGAATAGTTATTAGTAAATGGTGAATTTAGAATAGTTAAATAGTAAATAGTGAATAGTGAAATAGTTATAAGTAAATAGTTAATAGTTTAAGTGAAAAGTAAATAGTAATGGTAATAATAGTGAATTAAAATAGTTGAATTGTGGATAGTTAAATAGTGAATAGTTAATAGTTAATAGTAAATAGTTGAATAGTAAAATAGTGAATAGTAAAATAGTGAATAGTGAATAGTGATAACTAAATAGTTAATAGTAAATAATAATAATAATAATAAATGGTAGTCTGCCCAAAGGCAGGTCTATGGTGAGTAAGTAAGTCCAATAGTAAATAGTAAATAGTTAATAGTAAATAGTAAATAGTGATAACTGAATAGTTAATAGTAAATAGCTGAATAGTAAAATAGTAAATAGTTAATAGTAAATATTTGAATAGTAAAATAGTGAATAGTGAATAGTGATAACAGAATAGTTAATAGTATATAGTGAATAGTGATAACGGAATAGTTAATAGTATATAGTGAATAGATAATAGCAAATAGTGAATAGTTATTAGTAAATAGTGAATTAAGAATAGTTAAATAGGTAATAGTTAATGGTTAAATAGTTATTAATTAAATAGTTAATAGTTCATAGTTAATAGTTAATAGATAAATTGTGAATGATAAATAGTTAACACACATTCGCCGAAATATGCACATTTACCGTGACATATATAAGTAAAATATTACTGGGTATAAACTAATACATGGGCATGTACATAAACCAAAAATATCTGGTATGTAAACCTTTTACAAAAAGTTTAGCACTCTGCTACAACCACTAGTGCCTCTAGCGACGAAATTCGGAATAATTTGTAGTCTTAACTCTTACGGCTCGCTCCATTGCACGAACGCGCACGGCGAATCTGTTTGCTACATGCGCGTGGTTTGCTTTTGCTTGCAAAAATTTAGTCTGCGCACATTGCGACCAGATTCGCCGCACGGATTCGTGCAATAGAGAAAGAAGTGTCAAACGCTTGATCGCCTAGCAAATACATAGCTTTCTGATAGATCATTGCAACCGACTCAAATATACACCCGTAACATATCATAATCATAACATTTCTATTTTATCAATCATCATCAAAGAAGCACAACCTACTACCCAAAAATTGAATTTTACAGCATAAACTAATATTTTTCTTGCTCATCTCTGCTTCACTAAAAAGATTTAAAAAAAAGCTGGCTAGGCGAGCTCAAATAAAATATTACGGAATGAAATTTAATTTTAATCTTAATTGCTATTTTAACCCTTTCGCTACGGATGTCGTCCCTGGACAACATTTGCTACAAGACTTATGATATTTTTCCAAAAAAAATTTTTTTGTGTATAGAAAATAATTCAGATTTGAATGTTAATTTTGACTAAAGTTCAAATATACTTCAAACAAATAATTTCAACTTTGCAATTCAGTTTACATAATTCTCATAAATAGTAGACAATGTTACAAAAAAATTATAATTATCTATTTGAAAAGATATATCTATTAAAAGATATCGTTGTGTCTGTCCGTTCAGTAGTGCAACTGAGCGGCACGTTATTCCCGTATAGCAGCAACCCTAGACAATATAATAATAACAATGGCAGCGGCACTCCTGTTTGATATATAAAATTAGCGAACAACATGAAATTTGAGATCTAACTCGTAAGATTTTTTTTATATAGGTTGATCAATGTATAAATGACATCGATACAATTACTAAATGCCAAAAGTGGGGCTTCTCCAAATTTATAACCTTTTAGGGAGACGACGGCCATTGTTGATGGCGATTGATTTAGCCGAAATCAATTCTGAATCAAATTAATGGCACCTAGTTATGTTTAAGATTCTCTCAGCATAAGCTTAATTGTTACCGTAAAACCATATAAAACCTTATTATGCGTTCTACGCTTGATGATATAGAAATATCGTTGGCAAAATGTCATTCGTTTTCAATCAATTGTCATTGCAAAAATTGTAACAAATTAAAATAGTGAATAACTTACCAATTTTTTTTCCTTTTTTGATTTTTCTATTTTTTTGCTTTTTTTGAACACTTGCTTACTTAAATATAAGAATTTTGACAAAAGTTGAGTGGTACCGTCTGAAACTATTGATCTGATATAATAATGCAAAAAATTTTGGGTGTTCAATGTTTGGATTCTTGTTGATTTGTGGCGTGAGTTAACACGTAATAGTATTACCATACTACGTAATATGTGCCCCAACAATAAAAACCTTGTACACAAACAATAAATAGTATGTTCGTTGGGGGGATTTAGTAATATTTGAAATTCAATTCAATTCGAAATATAGTATTAAAAAATAATGCTTATTATTGAATCAATTTCAACAATAATAATTATTTTAAGCCTCGAACGATTTGGAAAGCTGGATTTTTGTGCAATTTCAGTTCTATAAATTGAGTTCTGTCACTATGCAATTAATCTTTGTATCAAATTTCAATTTTCTATATTATATTTATGAAATTTATTGGAAATATTTAGGTAATTATATTAGTGCAATATAACCATAAGAATTTTAATAATCTATTGAATAATTTTCAAAATTCAAAACAAATATAATTACATAGTGAGCATCAAATTTAATAAATAATTGAATTAAATTTTATATATTATATAAAGTAAATTGTTTATATATATATATATATATATATATATATAAATATATATATTATTTATATGTATACAATCCATAATCTCAACATAGATCTAAAATAATAGAATCTCAAAAAATTGCTCTGCGATTAGGCGTTTCACACATAAAACTTAACTTCACGTGTGTGTTAGGAAAGAGACGTTATTTGTGGGTTTTATAGGTTACGTACCTTTTTGATAATTCGTTACTTAGCATTGCTATACCATTTCTATTTTATGCAAGAATTGGCCCCTATATGTTAAAGGCTCTAAAATTGACTTCCACTACACCACTACAAGGGCACTTTCACTACATGCTGGAAAATCTTTGCTTTTCTAACACGATTGAAAAGATGCTGGTCATAAAATATTTGATATATTTTCATAGAGTGAAACGTTTTCTCTATTTACTCGTTTATGTATTATTACTGCGAAATATTTATTGCAATTTAAATTTGACAATACCAAATAAATTACATTCAGCATGATGAAAAGTGATTGTTAATAGTATTCATAAAATTACCTCAGAATCAGAAGTTATTTATAAATAATTTAACATTAACAAATTTTTATCGTTAATTTATTTAGATAAACATTTAAAATTCAACAATTTATTTGTCATTGTTTCCTCAATCGGTGAACATAAACACGGCTCGGTGCATTACAAACGTAACAATTTTTATAGCTTCTTATATTCAAATTAAAATGATACCAAATCTACGTCAATGCTTTCAAACAATCATTTCCTGAATAAAAGAACTTGTTTATTTAGATCAAATTCGGCACGTGTTTAAAATTAGAACAAATTTATATTTGAAAATATAATAATGTAAATGTTGAACAATTCTAAGAATTCATAATTGTTTAATGGAAATATTTGAATGTTTTGAATATATATTAATTTAATCCTATTTATAATTTCCAGAGTATAACGCAGTCAAACGTAGATGCATCGTACTTTACAAGATTGGGTGTGAATCTTCTAGTGCGACAAACAGGTTCCGAGCCACTTGTGCGAATGACGGCACGGGAGTTTATGTTTGGCTACAAAACACCACTTGTTACTCTAGGAAATAATTTGCTACCGGGGTGGATCAAATTCGATAAACTTGGGTTGATCGACAGGGTAAGGATAATTAAAAACATATTACCATTTCCATTAATTAACTTCCCGTAGTGTAAATAGTAATCAAAAATATTTTTTTTAGATATTTTTACGTTTCAAAGTATTCTAAACATTTTCGCATAGGAAAAATGAATGTATATGTGTATGTGTGTATGTGTGTAAGTCTGTGTAAGTGTGCAAGTCTGTATAAGTGTGTAGGGCTGTGTAAGTGTGTAAGTGCGTGTGTGTAAGCGTTTGTGTTTGTGCGGCTACAATTTTTCGTCGACGATTTCGTGAACACGAATCAACCGATTTAAATAAATCAAATCGATTCGTATTGACGGGGATATGTGCTGATTAGTTTTTGGCAAAGGCAGGTTCAACCATTTCGAAGATAGAAGGAAAGCACAATTGCTTTTAATAAAAATACAAACATTCCAAAATATATTTTTTCTTCAAAAAAGTCATTTTTTTTCAAAAATTTTCAAGAATCTAATTTTTTCAAAGTTTTAAAAACAATTTGCTTTAAGGCACGATGCCATGCACCATTAGTTTACAAATATTTTATAACAATCAATATCTATGACTAAAATGCTTCGAATTTATATTGCGATTACAACATATATTTTTATTTAATTTTCTGCAAACGACCTACCCTTGTGGTTAGAATTTTGTTTTTTCAACTAGTTTCCAGGCTTGATACCACCTTTAGACAGCCTGATATCAAGCAGTAGTGACATTGTTTCTCACTTTAATATAAGTAGCAATTTGTTTTCAAGTGAAAAAATAACCTTTACCTGGCATTGGTAAACCCAGGTTAAAATCATCACTACAAAAAAATTGTAATAATTAAAAACATCAAAGAGATAGCTAACCATTGGGTTGCTTCCAAAAAAAAATTAAGTAATCAAGAAAAATCGTTACAACAGCTTAAAGGACTCGTGAGTTCTTACCACTATTCTAAAATAAATTAAAAAATAAAAAATGTAAAATTCAATATAATCTGATTTTAAAAAAATAATGATCATAATAAAAAATATTGGAGTAAATTGAGATTTAAATGTTGCGAATTAAGAAATTGATTGCTAACATCTTAAACTACATAGCTTTTTATTGACGGCACCCCAAACGGTTGACCTATATCTATGTGTTGAATTTTTATCATAACAATTTCTATATTACTGATGTATTCATACTCATCAGCAATGCCGGCTAAGGGTTATTTTAAAATATTTTTATCTGTATTTTGAAGTGAAAACCGATGTCACTGCTGCTTGAAATCAGACTGTCCAAGACGGTTGTCGAACCTGGTATCTAGGATTCGAAGTCGATGGCTCGAACTACTAGGCAACGAAAAGTCATTTTCATTTATTTAAAATAAAATTTCTCCATAGCTCTAACCACTAGGCCACGGGAAGCTCTTTTACATTTATCTAATTGTGAAATAAAATTTAAAGACCATACAAAGATGTATACAAATTTTATCTATTCAACATAGCTTGTTCAGTATGCCATTCCAATTAAAAATGATACATAGAATAAATAACGAAAAATAAGTAATAAAATAATATCTAACATAACTCGCAATATTATGCAATTCATTCTTTTTTCATTTCATTAAATGTAAAATGTATGGCATTGTGCAAAAACAAATGAGGTTGGGGGCGTCCGTAAACCGATCACGTAATCTAATTTCCAAGAATTTTTGAAGCCCCCCCCCCCTCGTACTTGTTGATACGTGCTGATATTTAAAAGTACCCCGCTCCCCCACCAAACATTACGTGTATTTTAGTACCTACAAAAAATAGTATTTTTTTTATTTAAACAAATATTTTTTTAACTGAAATACACAATAAATACACGCGATATCTTACTAGTCCCTTTCTCACTTTATGTGAAATTTCGTGATTTCTGTCAACATCCCGCCCCCTTAAGCCTCGCGTGACTAATAGACGCCCACTTGAGGAAAAAGACAATAGTCGATATATAAATTCAGTGAGCAACATAGAATTATAGATCAACGTTCTAAGATTTTTTTTTGGAAAAGTTGATCAATGTATAAATGTATAAATAATATTAATACAACTACAAAATGCCAAAAGTGGAGCTCCTCCACATTCGTAATAACCCTTTAGGAAGACGACGGCCATTGTTGATGGCGATTGATTTAGCCGAAATCAATTCTGAATCAAATTAATGGCACCTAGTTATGTTTAAGATTCTCTCAGCATAAGCTTAATTGTTACCGTAAAACCATATAAAACCTTATTATGCGTTCGACGCTTGATGATATAGAAATATCGTTGGCAAAATGTCATTCGTTTTCAATCAATTGTCATTGCAAAAATTGTAACAAATTAAAATAGTGAATAACTTACCAATTTTTTTTCCTTTTTTGATTTTTCTATTTTTTTGCTTTTTTTGAACACTTGCTTACTTAAATATAAGAATTTTGACAAAAGTTGAGTGGTACCGTCTGAAACTAACTTGATTATATAAATATGCAAAAAATTTTGGGTGTTCAATGTTTGGATTCTTGTTGATTTGTGGCGTGAGTTAAAACGTAATAGTATTACCATACTACGTAATATGTGCCCCAACAATAAAAACCTTGTACACAAACAATAAATAGTATGTTCGTTGGGGAGATTTAGTAATATTTGAAATTCAATTCAATTCGAAATACAGAATTAGAAAATTTATTGATCATTATTGAATCAATTTTAACAATAATAATCATTTTATTGAATGATTTGGAAAGATAGGTTTATGTGCAATTTTAGTTCTGTTTAAGTTATGTCACATGAAAAATCTTTGAGTCAAAAACAATTTTCTATTGCTTCTGCTAAATAAGGTTTTTTTTTCTCTTTTCTCATGAAGTTTGTTGGAAATATTTCAATAATTAAATTAGTGCAATACAGTTAATGAGCATGTTGATAATGAATTGAATATTTTTAAATATAATTACATAGTGAGTTTCAATCATAATAAATATTTTAATTAGCTTTTATACTTGATTATATAAACTATATTTTATAATTTATTATATTTTTTATTCCTTTATTATTTTTAGTGTTATCACAATGTATACATACATATATACAAAATGTATAATTGATGCATATGATTTAATAAAATAAATTATAATGTGGAATTACAAGAAAGGAACTATTTAATATATTATAATATATATATATATATGTGTGTGTGTGTGTTTGTATGTATGTATGTATACAGTAGAACCTCGCTAATCCGACACTGTTAAATACCAAAAATTACTAATTACGGATTATACTAGAAAAGTCATAAGATTTCAATATCTTAGCGGATTTTCCACGTGATTTCCAAAAAATTGTCCAGCGCTTCGATTGCTGGAGATGTTTTTGTACATATTGTTCGGCGTTGAAATATATTCCTGAAAATATTAGCAGTTTAACTTATCGAAATAAAGAAAGTTTAAAAATGTATCATTTATTATTAACGTTTAGATAACATTCCTTAGCAATTCGAGCCAAAGAAACGCATAAAACAGGGACAAAAAATTTATTTTCGCCAATTTTACAACTATTATTTAGGTGCATATTTATATTTTTAATTTTTATTACAGATGTACGATTTTGAAGGGGATTATGAAACCGTCTATACTGGTGAAACTGACCTGCGCATGTCTGGTCTCCTCGCAACTTACCGCGGTTCTCGTTACCTGCCGCATTGGCCAGGAAATGACGGCAAGTGCGGCGATGTCAACGGCGCATCAGACGGAACCAAATACGCTAGTTTCATAGAACGTGGCGATAAACAAAAGTTTTTTAGAAAGTCTATGTGCAGGCCAGCAGACATGGTTCAAATCGGGGACGAAAACGTCAAAGGACTTGATAGCTACATTTACACTTTCGAAGATGACGCTTTCGATAATGGATGGAGAAATCCTGAACACAAATGCTACTGTAGAAAAGGTAAAGGTTTATTTTGCTTTAATAATAATTCTATGTATATATTTACTCATATTATATTTGTTACAAAGTGTTTTTGTCAGCATTTCCAAAATAAGAATATTAATTTGTTATAGGCCGTTGTCTACCAGATGGTTTAATTGATGTCACAGACTGTTATTATGGTTTCCCAATAGCATTGAGTTATCCACATTTCTATAAAGGCGATCAAATGCTTAAAGAACAAGTCAACGGAACCCAACCTGACATCAATTTGCATCAAACGGAAATTCATATCGAACCCGTAAGTTAAAATTATTCACTCAAATTTTGTTAAAGTCTATAAGAAATTGATGACAAAATGAAATTTTATGATTATGGTAAACATTATAGATATAATAAAAGTATATTCTAATAAATTATATTGTTGTTTTAATACAGAATACCGGAATGCCAGTGAAAGTAGCAGTTCGCCTGCAAATTAATATGGTGTTTACAGATTTATCAAGTATGGCAAAAGTTGGGCGATTTTCAAATATGGTTCTACCTATGCTTTGGTTTGAAATTGTAAGTTTATGTAAAATTAACATATTTATTAGGATATAAGAATATATGTACAAAATAGAATTCGAAGAGATTTAATAATCATCAAGAAGTAAGTTAATAAAAGTTCAGAGAATATATTGAAAAATTGTCTCAAAAATTGCTCGACAAAAAACAATCCCTTTTCTGGCATTGATAAAGTAATACTGAGATCATATGATATATCTATTTCAATATCTGAATATATTTATGAAAATCATATCAATCTATTATGATTCCAGGGAATGCCTGAACTTCCTAGCAGCATAAATAATAAATTCATCTTCTATCTCAACATAATGCCTGTTGCGGAACAAGTAATCTTATACGGAGGCTTTATTCTCGGGTCAATAATGCTCATAACATCTATAGTAAAGGTTCTGATGACAGTTTCTTACAAAGGTCGTTCAATATCTGATAATTTCAAACAATACAATGTCCCTAATTCTAAGAGCTGGTTGAAAGATGACAACGGTAAATCAACTGGAAAACACATTCAAGGATTTAAACATCAGGGCCACAAGTCGATGGATCCGATCAGTGAAAAGTATTTAGGAAAAACGTCTGGTTCTATTTATAGTCCATGCGAAGAAAACTTTAAAACCGAAGCACAAAGCTTAATTGATATTGATAAGTTGCAAAATACAAAAAAACAAGGAGAAAACTGGTTAAATAAGAGTTTGGGAGATATTTTGAATAAATCGTTAGAAAAAGCCATTCCATTCTTTTCGGCAGAAAATGAGAAAAATTACACCAAAACACCAACAGAGGACATGAAGGAGATGCAAATATATAACAAACCTACTAGAAAATTCAGCGAAAATAAAGCTTTCTTATGTAACGAAGGAAATGAAATGGGACATGGTATGCTAAAATATGGTGATGTTAGTGAAAACTTGAGTGATCTTGATAACGAATGCAATAACGATGATTTGTCAGAGTCCAATAGCGATGATCCTTATGATTACCACAAAGTACCATCTGCTTCAAACTCAGATAATGATGAGAATGGTGATGAATACAGCGCTAAAATTAACCATGGAATGGTTTAAGATCGAGATGCCTTATTATTTTAGATATTTCAATACCCTTAAATTAAGAAATTACAGTACCAGAACCAAAAACTGATTACTGAACTAAACTAAATTTAGTAAATTTGTATCAAACTTACCAAAAATTATCCAATTATTCATTTAAATTACAAACAACTATAAAATTGGCAAACAGAAGAATATTAATAGGTCTCACGCATAAAGCAAATAAATCTTTAGTAATCCTTTGTACTCCACTATAAGCCGATATAACTTTTGATGTTTAATACCAAAATAGCCTTAACTCAGAAGCCTAATATTAATCACAATACAGAAGACGATCGTTTCCTGAAACATTTTACGTTTTTGTGCTTCTATACAACATGGATGAAGCCAACGGAGTGGCAGCTAGTGGCCGATGTCCTCCTATTCGTTCTATGAATGTAAAAATGCCTTATATTAATTAGAAATTATTAACATGTTAGTAGAGTTCAGACTTCAACCTGTCACCCCTTACCAATATATTTGCAACATCCGTGCTATACAATACAGAGTATACTTCATTGTGGTACCAGATCAAACAAAATTGTATAGTAAGCCACAAAGTTTAATAAAATATTTACAAAATGCTCATAATCTTGTACCTGCAAACCAAGATTGCAAAAACTTAGCATATTGGTAACAGAAACATAGACATAACCCAGGTGTTTTGTTTCTTTCCACTAAATTGAATTTATTAAGCTTTCAACTTTTACCAATATCCTGGATATGATCATTATCTAAAAAAAAATATATTGAATACTCAGCCTATTAGTTTAGTAATCAAATTGAATATCTCGAATCGCTAAATTCAAGTCTCTCACTTGCATCTTACATTGATTAGAAAAATGTCACAAAAATATTCAAAATTTTATACCAAGAAGTTACTATATGCTATATGATATCTAGATCATATGTAAGTCTACTGTAAAATGCATCTTTATAAACCTTTATTTTATAATTATCGAAATATATTATCTAAGACTAAAGTTCCAAATAAAATTGGAAAAAGTACTATGACATTGAGTTATTATGACCGAACTTACAAAATCTCATTCTTATAATGTTAATTATAGAAGCTCTTAAGATTATTATAACTAAAGTGATAAGCTGTACAATTTGACTTTACTTTTAACTTAATTTTTGTGAGTGCGTGTTGTGGGAGTATCCATGTTTGTGTCTAACAATATCCTTATGTTATCTTGCCACATTAATCTCAGATATAATTTATTGATATTATTTTTAAACATGTGCTGGTATGTGATCGTTTATTATGTTATTGAATTTTTTCACCAGGCTTAGATTAAATTACTAGTCTAATAAAAATGATAAGTGACATCAATTCAAATTGGAAGAATTTTTCATCACTATTCCCTAATAGTAACTTTAATACTGGCTTTGCCATATTGTATAAGTTAATCTACTTAAACGAAATTTAATTCCAGGCAAAATATTAGTAGAAGTACTTGTATTTAGTGAAATTATCTTCCTAAGAATGTTAGTTTTATGATAGAATTTTAGTTTCATGATAGAATTTTAGTTTAAATTATTTTAGTTATAGCATGATGTATGCATCGAAAGAGTAACCATCAATTTAACATGACATCATTGTTGTCTTACGTCAGTCAGTTCACGCAATATAATTAGTTAAAATCATGTCAGTGATATCAACTCTCTATTGCTTTAAAGTAGTTTTAAAATGTATTTTTATTTGAAAATTGTACGGAATATAATATTTATATTCCTTTAGGACTGAATAGATCTACAAAAATTTGTGAATATTTATTTAAAGTTGTTTGAAGTATGGCTGAGTTTGCTTGATTGCTGTAGATATTTAGTAAATATTGTAACATATATTTGATGTACTTACTAGTATTTTATATATTTTACACTAGCAGATAATCATTTAGTAACCTTAAAATGTACTCTTCATTACCCCAAAAAGTAATCACTATTTTTATACTTTTAAATTAAGATTTAGACAATAATCATATGTAATATTTCATATAATAAAAATGGAATAGAAATACAATTTGACTTTTTATTAGGCTTGCGACAAATAGTATATTCGGCAATATGCCCAACCCTGAATATTCTGCATACTCATGTAACTAAAACTCATGTGCTTTAATGCAAACTAAGCTATGCTTCAAACTTTTCCAAACCCATTCATTTGACTCTTTTTCAGCGCATAATAAACGCACAAGTAATTAAAAATAACAAAAACCACAAAGTATATGATAGAGTAACAAATATAAATTTGAATAATGATAAATTTTAAATAATGCATACACATATACACACACACTATATATATATATATATATATATATATATATATATATATATATATATATATATATAATTCATTTAAACAGCCAATGCGTCGAAAAGAAGTTTATTTTAAATTTTTTTATACATTTCGAGACTAGATGTGTCTCATCATTCAGCTAAGAGAAATTCACAATATCATTCAATTGTAAATTTCTTTTAGCTGAATGATGAGACACATTGAGTCTCAAAACGTATACAAAAATTCAAAATAAACTTTTCTTTCAACAACACATTGGCTGTTTAAATCAATTCAATATGTTTCAACGTCAAACAAACAATCCTCAAGATATATGCATATATATAAATTATTCAGTTTTTATTAATTTGAAACGTGTTATATAAAGTATCATAATACATTATATTATCAAAGCCTATAGTTGAGGTTACATTACATATAAAAAATATATAAATTGTGTAAAAAAAATATGAAATATTTAAATTAACTCAGGTGGGCATTTATTACACATCACATTATCACAGATGTGGTACGTCACTTATTTGGTAATTCAACGCAATTTCATTACGTTTAGATTATAAAAAGTTCTTTTTATCCTAAACTATATTTCATATGTAACATAATTAAATGCATTCAAATAATATAAATAAAATTCAACTGTTATCTGCAACAAGAACACATTAATAGTGTCAAGATACCTGCAATTGCAATCATGTGCATATGTATCCTGTCTAATTTTAAATCTTGCTCATTACTTTTAAATGAGTCATTAAATGATGTTTGGCTACCAAATGTTTTCATCACAGGTTTTGCAATATTTTCTTTAAATGTGGTCTTGACTATATTCTCTATTTTTGATAATTTGTCAACTGAAGTATCTGATGTTACTTGAGTAATAGCTGCAATTTCTTTCAACATAACTTTAATTTCCTTCAGTTTGTGGGAATTATTAATTGAAGATCCAATTATTCCAATTATGGTACCTAAAATTAAGTGTGAAAAGATCAGTATAAAATTAATTACTACAATCCTTACTATGATATAATAATCAATTTAGACAAATATAATATTAAATAATATTAAAGAACTCAATAAATTAAAAAATTAAGTAATAAAAGACACAAGCTCATCTTTAATAATTTAAAACAGAACCCTTCATAATAATGCCAAAATTATTTTCAAGTTATTTGGTACACTAATTCCTTTCATCAGTTATTATAATTCAATGCTAGAATAAAAATTTGGAGCCTGACAGTAGTATTTATCAAGTACATACCAAGCATTTTCAATTCTTAAAAATCTGTTGCCAATGGCACTTGTTTAGTACAGAGTAACATTATGTTTTTATTTAAATTTATACATCGTTTCGAAGTAGTGTTATTGACATTCCAATGTGACAAAATAAATATAGCTATTTTTTTATTATTTTGAAATAATATTTACCAAATGAATCTTAAATGTTATTAAAACATACTACACATAAAAAGTTGTAATTGAAAAAGCTTCTTATAGGTCATAATTCATACAGAAATTGAAAATATGAATTTTTTGCTTTTACAATATCTTACAATTAGAAAACTATATAAAAAAAACTTTTAAATAGCTTACAAATTAGTTCAAACATAAAATTTACTTTACGCAATTATAAATAAAAAGTATTAAGTACCTATTATAGATCCAATAATGGACCAGTATTTTGTTTTATCAGCTTGCAAGCGTTCCCTTTCATGTGAAATTCGGACTGCAGTGGTAAGATTTGTAAAAAGTTCACGTTCCAGTTTCTCTACATCAATAAATGATTCTTTTAATTTATTTTCTTGACCTATGATCTAGAACAGTAATTAAAATTAAATTAAATTAATGTAATTTACACATGCTTCACATTTAATTGATATTTTCTAATATGTACATTGTTACAATCTGCTGCTTCACAAATTCAAATACAATCTAACAAACTAACATATCATTAATATTAGATATGCATTTTAAAGGTGTAATATTCCATATAAAAAATAAAAATTTGAGTATATATGCTATAATTTAATGAATAATTTAATAATACGTTGGACATCCATGAATTATATGTTCTGGTAAGTTCTGTCGTCCGACTTATTACACATGATGAGAAATAGATCAATATATATATATATATATATATATATATATATATATAATATGGATTTTACCAATTCGAATTTCATCCTTTGAGATATGACGTTCGATTTTTTTTTTTGTTCATTTCTTTTTCGAAGGGCAAATAATTAATATTTATTTTTCACTAACATGCTTGTTGCAAATTAATTATTTCTTTGACATGTTTTTGTTTTGTGTTTGTGTATTATTTACTTGTGTGTTTCTACTGAGGAAGAGTCAAAATGGGACTCAAAACATATCGATTGATTAAATTTATTTTATGAAACTTTTATCTTAGTTTTCATTATATTTTAGTATCAGGATTGATGTCTGTTAGGAAGTTTTATTAAAATATTTATCACCATCTGAAAAATTCATGTATATCAAAGTATACATCAGTCATTGACTATTTTCGTACTTAATACAACAATAAAGAAAGGAAGGTAAGTTGATAACACTAGGTCTTATACAAATCGTTTTGCTTAATGTATTATAAATACCTTAGTTGAAATGCTGTTATAGCTTCAATTAGCAATAATGTTACCAGTCATAAGTTTTTAACTAAAAACTAATGATAGATGTGTAAAAGCAAATATAAAGCATCATTATCTCCTATATTATTAGTTACTCAATCCAAACTTAATTAGATCTTGAAATGTTCAATAGTAACTTTTGTGACTAAAAGATATAATAGGTCTAGTTCACAAACTGTATTAAATCTCACCTCATGATCTTCCATAATAAGTTTTAGGTATCTGGGTTCTCCAGGCTTTGAAAGTTGCAGTTTATCATGTATATCTTTCCTTTTTAACTGTACCTCAGACAATAAATTATAGACTTCCCTTCGCTTGTTTTGAACTGTAGTAAATTGATCCTGGGCATCTAATACTTTTTGTTGAGCAATTCTAACTTCAGAAAGTCCTGTGAATTGTTCATACCATTTGAAGACATCATTAAACTTTGCCCGAGCTGCATCTGATTTTAATTGCATTTCTAATCTTAGCTGTTCTCTAGTAGGCAATAACTCCGTGATTTTACTATAATTGTTAGAGTACTTTTTAAGTGGTATCAGTATCAGATCATTATTTCTGATAGTGTACAACTTTTTTATAAAATGCATAGCAGTGGATTAAGTTAAAGTTTCAATATAAATTGTAAATCCGTTAAAAATGTAAACTATGAAAGGTACTTGAATAAAGGCATAAAGAACTCAGTATAGTCCCGCACATTACCGGCGATCAAAATAAAAAAATGAACTCTTTTTACATATAACCTGCATCTTAGATTTATATTGGTTTTATAAGCATTTTGGCGCTCAATAACTATTACTTAATTAACAAAATTAGCACTATTGTTCACACAGTTCGCCTTCTCGTATAATTATAAATTAATTATAATAACTTATCAGTCAATTTTAGCACGGTTTAGAAAGTAGAAGCTTGTGTGCCATACTGCCATATGCAATTTATGACATAAGGCCGTGGTTACCAACCTTTGGGGCGCGCACCCTCAGGAGAGCATACAGCTAATAAATAACTAATGAGTAAATGTATACTTTTACATAATATTGCATACATTTTGTAGTTTTTGTAATTAAAATATAATATCAGTTGATAATTTATGAAATTAAAAGTTTAATTTAAACAATATTTTTTATAAGAACGTGGGGCACCATAGTAAAAGGTTGAAAACCACTGACGTAAGGGAAAGACGGCGTTTATAACCAAACACTGATTTAGCAGCACTGTACAAACATATTTTAAGAATAAATTTGTTTTGAAACGATATAAAATTATTGCTAGAATAATAGCAATAATTATATAGTTGATGTTTACACTGCATATGGAAATTGAGAGAAAATTACAATTCAAACTACAATGTATGTTGTTTCTCACAGTATGAATTAATTAATGGGATCTTTACGATGAATAAAAGATTAATTACATTATAATAGGATTTATTATTTGTACTTACAATACATTTTTCAATAAAAAATACATCATAGAAGTGCTAAAAAAGGTAAAACTCATAAATTAATGTTAAAATTCAATAACGTTAAAATTTTTGTAAACTAAAATAAAATGTAGTACCACTTCAATATAGTATGCAACATATGCAATCTATGCAATAACTAAACATTTACTTTATTGTAAAATTATGTACAGAAATTTAAATTACTATTCTTCAATACATGTCATTGCACCTACATGTAAAACATTTAAAACACAAATTATCCAACACGTGAACTTAACTACATTCTCCTAATAGAAATAATTTTCCAAAAGTACAAAATTTTAGCTTAGTCAATAATTATAAACAAATAAATTTCTAAATTATATGCTTCTGTTGTGGAAATATATAAATTAGTCTAAAATTTTATATATTATAAAACCATATATAAATTTATATTTAAAAACGTGCTCTGAAATACAAGGCTGATACATCATCTTCCCCAAACCCCAAGCGTTTTGCATGTTTCAACACTTCATTAGCAGTCGCTGTGACAGGCATGGGTAAGGTTAGGTCCTCGGCCATACCCAAAGCTAGACGCAAATCTTTTTGTAAATGTGTGAGCCTGGTGTGAGTGCTGTAATCCCCCATAATAATTGAATTACTCTTCTCTATCATTGCCGGGCTGGCAATGGTTGTCAGTTCAAGAATTTCTAAAACATCCTTTTTTTGAAGGCCAGTACGGTCTGCCAATGCCATTGCTTCTACTAATCCCGCTACTGATATTGCATTTATTGTTTGTAGAACTAAATTCATTTTAGTTGCAGTACCCACTGCTCCTAGGAACAAACAGTTATTTCCAATGGCATTAAAACAAGAATTACAATCTTGGAAAAGATCTTTATCTCCTGCAGCAAGTATTATAAGAGATCCTTCCTCCGCTTGCATTCTAGAACCTTGTATTTGTGCCTCTAAATATCTTCCTCCTTTCTCCACAATGGCATCAGCAATGTCATGCGAACACTCCGAGTCGATTCCCGTCATTTCCACATAGCCTTTTCCAATAGTCATTGTTTGTAGCACTCCACAATTTCCAAAAATCATTTCTCTTGCTGCTAGAGGATCGGGGACACATGAAAATATTATATCTGCCGCATCTACAACTTCACAAGGGGCAAGACCCATTTTAGCTCCAGTTTCTAAAAAATCGTTGCACTTTGCCCTTGTTCTATTCCACACAACGACTTTATGTCCTGAGTGGATTAAGTTTTTTACCATTGCACGCCCCATGATACCAAGGCCAAGAAATCCAATTACTTTATTAGTGGGTGAGACATTTTTTCCAGCGAGAATAGGAGATATATTTTTCAAATTAATAGGTGGAGTCAATGGCCTATTTACCTGTGGTTTGTTCCATAAGCTAGAGATCTGTCGACTGGAAACTGAATGGTTTGAAATGTATGAAGAACTTTCAGGCTCGGTACCCACTGAATCATCATTATCAAAATCCACAGTAGTTGTAGTAATAGTAGGTTTTAAAGCTTTAGGGGGGGTATCAGAAGGAATTGTAGAGTTTAAACGTTTTCGTCCAGGAGTTTTTTTCAAAGGCTTCACTTTTTCTGGTTTATCTTCGTTTTCTTTTAATTCATTGAATTTAAAATCTGCTTCATCTTCGTTATTCTCGAATACAGCTTCGTACTTTTTGGGGTCGTCAATATAAGCATCGATTTGTTTGATAGCTTCTTTGAACGCAGCTGTTTTACAAAGATCAATTTTTCTTTACCTTCTAAATACGGTATTAGAAAAGTTTCTTCGATCCAACCATAGTTATTTGAACCAAAAAAATAAATGCAATGAAGCCCAGCACTGTTTTTAGGTTTCTTCAATTTAGGGGGGAATATTTGAAACTCGGCCAGGCCACGATGGAAATCTCTTCATTTTGGCCCACACCAAATCCCCGATGTTAAACTTACTTGACATTTTTATTCTTCTTGTCACAAATTTCAAAATTATTTACTATATTACTATAATGCACTCTATCAAAATAAACTGCCGCGCATCACAAGCCAATACATACCGCCATTACTCACACGCACGAATGCCAACATGACATGTTACAAAAACAAAGTTATTTACATGTCAACACAACAGAATAAAGAAATTATCTTTGAAACACACCGACAATTCATATTCGAGTATATTCTACAGATTTTGCATTTTAACAATATTACAAAACAAAATGGATATAATAAATGTATTTATTTATAATATTTTTTTATTTACTCTCAATTTGAAAATTCATATTACGTGCCAATATGGCTTCATTTATCATTTCAATATGGAAGTTGAAAATGATAAATATAATTAAGTATTTCATGCCGTAGCATATGGCATTACGATTATTTTAAAATATTTTATTTGTTGCATAACAGCTTTTGATAATTTGGTTTGATTCTATGTTTGACTTTTAAGCTAGTATGAAAGATGGCCGCACACGCACACTAAGGTAGTCGTGCAACATGCATTATAAACCCTCATTAAACGTTCGAGGCTACCGTTATATGTGGCATTTGGCATTACCGTTACATCGTTTGTTATAGATACATTGCTACAATAATGTTTAATGTAGGCCTTATTTCATTATTGATCCATACCGAATGCATACATTTAAAACACTAATTGTAATATAATAACCCAAATTAACGATACCATTGTATTGTAATGTTGTAAGTAATACTTATTTATCTATGGTTGTAAGTACATAATTGGAAATATACTGTTGTGTCTCTGTCACCTAACCTTGTTTTATGAATCATGACAGACAAATACGCACAAATATATGTACATATGAATGTATTTGTAATTTTTGTTCAAACTAACCGATATATCGTGTATTTTACTTAAAATGTAAAATGTAAAGCTTTCAGAAATAGAATATTTTATTTGAATTTCTATAGTATTAAAAATTCACATATGCATATAGCTATAAATGCTGTTAAAATAAAGAATTTTATGTAATATATTTACATATCTCTAAATTTAAACAAATCTAAACACCGCTATTGAACTATTAAAATATGATAAAAATCCATTCATAATGGTATACTAGTATAGCGGTATACCATCTAAATTTTCGGCGGTATATTAACCGACTCAGTGCCACACGTTTTTTCGCAATATGTGTATGCAAAAATGCTAGGACTAATTACCCTCTGAAATTAAAGTAAGAGAAAATAATGTGTAACTTTCGTAAAAATGTTACAATTTTCGCTTTACATGAATATTTAGTTAGTTTATTTTATGATAACTTAGGCGAAAAATCAAAACTTCTGTAAAAAATCCAACAATTTTTAGACAGAATCAAACTCAAGAACATACTGACATGAGTGTCGTTCCCGCGCATTTGGCACTTTTCGATAGAATGAGCAGATGCGCGATCGCGCGACTTGAACACTAAAACGTTAATACCGGTATTTACCTAAAAATATCGGAATTTAGATATTGAAACATAAGCGCTAGTTAAAACTTATAACACTTGAATTTAATTTCCTCGGTACCATTTAGACTTTAATTTCCATAATCGCAACCGATGTCACTTCAGGCCGATCTGTTGTATAAGCAAATGAGAGAATATAATCGACTGATAAATGATGAAATTTATTTCCTTTCATGTATAATGAAACGGCATTTTAAAGTGATATCGGCGCCAAAATATTTTATATAAAAATACTCAAAATAAACAAAATAAAACCACTGATAATTTATTTTTGTTCTAACTTCATACATATTAATCATAATTATTAATAAAAGTGTTTCTTATTAACTTCCTGAAGGAGAAGTTTGTTTTCATCAAAAAGTCCGATTCGCTAATTTTATGTTTTCTCGACGTTTCAAGCCATTCTGAATCGAATGAAACCAAATTTGGAAAAAGTATGTGTGTGTGTGTGTATGAACAAATTTTTTTCCGTAAATCGACGTTTTCTCAAAAACGGCTGGACCGATTTCAAAAATTTAAAAGCCATTCGATGTATCGCGATGAGGACTAGCGTCTATCAATTTTGCGCGACGATCAGCCAAGCCGTTTCTTTGTAAATAGCAGAAAAGTGAAAACTTTTTCGTCCACATTTTAGCCCGCAATTCTGATTCAATTTTGAAAACTCAAAAACCGTTCGAAAGATATTGGTTGGGAATCGTGCTGATGAGTTTTTGGTAGTGATCGGCCGGGCCGTTTCCTTGTGATAAAGAGTTGAAAAAATTTTTTCGACGATTTATATTATTATTTTTTTACGGTAGATACCATAGTCTTCTAGATTATACTAAAATATTACGGCCCTACGACAACTCGTTTAGCTTTAAAAATTCGTCCAAGTTTGCAAAAATTAAAATTGTTTTGGTATTTGTCAAAATTAAACCTTTCATCGACGTTTGCTCAAAAGCGCCTGAACCGATTTCAGAAATTTAAAAACCATTTGATGTATCTTGATGAGGATTATCGTTTGTCAGTTTTGTGAGACGATCTGCCGAGCCGTTTTTTTGTAATTTGGAAAAAAGTGTTAAACTTTTCGTCCACAATTAAGCTCATACTACCGTATCGATTATAAAAAATCAAAAACTGTTCGAAAGATATTAGTTGGGAATGATACTAATTAGTTTTAGGTTAAAATCTAAGGAGCCGTTTTCTTGTAATTAACTGTTTAAAAAAAATCAAGCAGATTTTTATGGAATTTTTTTTGGCGATATATATTATTGTCTCATGGAACTTACTAAAATATTACGGCCTTACGACAAGTAGTTTAATTTTAAAATTTTATCAATCTTTGAGAAAATGAGTAGTTTCTCTAACGTTTGTTAAAATTAAAATTAGACGATTTACTTGATATAATGATAGAGTTCTTGGTCTTAATGAACCTACTAAATTATTAAAGTGTTACAGACACTGGTTCAATTATAAAAATTATTGATTTTTGAAAGTTTGCTTTTAGAAAATACTCCGATTTAACGTGTTCGTTCGCTTTCAATCATGTGTAATAAATTCACTCGGAATACTTTTAATCACTCATAAATTAATTCATATTTTATTGTTTATGTCGATTATTTACACATATCGGGAAGTTTATGTAACTTGCCTCAAGGCAAAATACCAATACCAACTAGTTAAAAAAAAGATTGTTATTTATCCTAATACTAAATAACAAAATACGAATAACAAAAACAACAATTATATAATATCATTACTTTACGTAAAAAGTATCACGTCTCGAAAATATATATTATTTTCCATCATTATTTTATTTTAAATAAAAACACTCAACATTTATAATATTATACTATTTTTAATAAAGTATTGGATTTTAAATTAGTATCAAAAAATTAATGTTTTAAACTTTTTAAAAAAATACATGCAATTCAATTTAATATAATATTGTAATATGAGTTAGTTTTTGGTCTTTCTGACACATACGTTTGATTTCGATGAAATGTGCTCAATAGTAGATACCTAGTTGTTTCGATACTTATTTTCAGTTTTTTATTTTTTATTTTAATTTATATCGATAATAGGTCTATTTTTTATATTTACATTCTATTTTGTTTACATTTTTAAAAATAATATGACTATTGGTATTACCGATTTTAAAAGCGAAAATACCAGTATCGAAATTTGTTTGTGGGGTTACATTCCCTAAGGACATACAATTATACTCTTCTTTTATCTATGCAATTATATTTTCTACGACTGTAATGCTAATTGAAACATTTTTGACACGACATATATGTGTCAATTCTGAATGAAAAAGTTTAATATTAACTTTTTTATTATTTTATACCAAATCAAACATTATATGTACTACAATAAATATGTGCAGCGAAAGACTAAAACAGTTGCCCCCCGTTCCCATTCTATATGGTCGATTTGAGAAATTTACCTCTTAAGTCGAAATCGTCAATTTTAGATACTTGAAATTATAATCTTTCATATGGTTATGTGGCTTTAAACAAAATAATCAATAGTCAACATATAGAACAGATGTGTTTATTTATTATTGATATACAAGATTGTTTACTCTTAAACAAGAAGTACAAGTAGCGGTGGCGCTTTTTTATCTATGAGACGGGCTTTTGCACTTGATCAAAGTATATGAGATCTGTATAAAACCTGCGGCTAAAAACGGCATAGAATTCTTTACATTTAAATAGGATAAATATTAAAATAACCAATCACGTACGTTTTTATGAATTCTTGCGATATGTTCGTTTAATGACATTAAATTGGGTACTATTTATTAGTATTTATCCTATGTTTTTTTAAAATTAAAATAATTGATAAAAAGATAAAATAATTGGAAAAATGATAAAGGACATCTCCCTTCAATATAAGTTGCTTGAACTTTTTGGTATGTGTAAATAATCGACATAATCAATACAAATTCAGATGTAGCAACTTTTAAAATTGTGATGACAATTTGCAACAGCAACTAGTAAAATTGTATAATTTTCTAAAGAATTTTTATAATTAAGCCAATGATCTCTACCATTTTACAAAGTCTCCTCAAAATCGTTATTTTTTTTACAATGAATTACGAAGAAATAGTTCGGCCGATCTTCACCGAAAACAAATCAGCTCGATTCCCAACTATACCTAACATTTAAATTCACAAAACTTCAATTCAATTTTTCAATTTTGTTCAATTTTTTCTCAATTTAAAAAAATGGCTCTGCCAATCGTTCGGAAAGCTTATCGGGTTTTATCTACTGGCTTCAAAGTTTTTAAATGACGGTGCAGCTGTTTTTAAGAAAACGTGGACGCAAGTCAAATTTTAGCTCAATAAGGTAGAGCAGGGCTTAAAGCTTCGCAGTTAAAAAGCTCCACCACTGATATCTCGAAAACAAGTAAAGTTAAGAATTTTTTAACAAAAATTTTGAAAGAAGAGGGGAAATGATGTATATCCAGCCATCACCTTGATTCTTACGACGTTGCTATCGCGAGAAAAGCGATATAACCGTTTTTCTTTTGTAGTTATTTATTTTGGTTGTGAGCACTGTTGCTAAGTTTATGAGATATAATTTTTTTATATTTAATATAATTTTTAAGTATACGTTTTTTTATTGTTTTATAAAATGTATTATTAATTTTAAGTTAGATTAAAAAAAAAATTATAAACCTCTATAAAAGCTTACACCTAGGTGAGGTAAAAAGGACGAACTAAATCCTCACTGCAAAGGTGTGAAAAATAAAAAATAACTTATTAAAAGAACAAACAAGAAGAAAATTAAGTTAAAAAAAGTAATTTTACAAGAGATAAATTAAATAAATGGAGAATAATATTTTGTTGGCTCAAAAGACACCTTGCAGAGACAGTTGGTTTTTGCTGATGGCAAAAACGTGCTGTCGATGAAAATGAGTACTTGATATATATATGTACATCAAACGTTTGGTGCTTTATAGAGATTATAACAATATGTATATAGTTTTTTAGAACATATTTTGCGTCCTTTGCCAATATTCGCTCTATTCACAAACAAAATTATTTTTGAACAAATATTTCAACTAAAAGTATTTTTTTTTGTAAATTTTGAATTTTAAATTTGTTTCTTGCTTAATTAAAACTAAAAGATTGTTATATGATGATAATTAATAATCTTACCTATAAAATTATTTTTTATTATGTTTGTGACCACGTATTATTTTTATAATATTTAGAGTTCTGCAGAATGCATATTATAGTTGTGAACGAAATTAAATAAATGATTTACATATTTCAAAATGTTCAAATTAAAATTCAAAATAATGCAAAAATTGCGAAACCAATACATAATACATATACTCAAAATCATGAGCTCTCGAATGTCACAATCTAACATAAACAAATTATTATGTACCGAAGAGATAAATCCTTTACGTCCGTTCTTATCGGCATCGTGTCATTAAAAACATATAATCAGTATTGCTCAAAAAGCCCAGACAAAACTATGAAAAAGGACAAAAAACAATCAACATCCAGTTATCTTATGCAGTATGGTTATAAGAAGAAATATATGAATCTAACCGACATTTCGTTTAGCGCCGTATACAAAATCGATGATAGGACTCGATCGCTACTCTAATCACGAATATTAATTTACGTTTCGATGAAAAAACATTTAGTTTCAAAATCAGCTAATACTCTGGGTTTAATTTTTCAAATTACAAAAAGTGAATGTGAATGCTTTAAGTTTATTATTATTTTATAATAGTTAATTTTTCGAAAAAGTGCGTTCTGATTATTTTGGATATCGTGTGATGTCAAATTTTGTGCTGGAGAAGAATCCGTCGCAGCTGAAGATGTTGCCTCCTGACCGCGAAAAGGACAACGACAGTTGTATCAAATGTTGTGATATTTGCCGGAAGACCATCTACAATCAGAAAGAGTTTATCAAGGATACTAAAAAGCACATGTGCGTGCCCTCCAACAGGATGAGGCCGTATTACGGTAGGTCATTGTGCATAATGAAAAATATTTCAAATTGGTACAAATATTCTACCGAATCACATACATATCTGGAATTTGTATAAACACTAAAATTGCAGATTTTATTTTGAATTTGAATTTCGTTTAGTCATATGCTATATGCTAAAACTTAAAATTTTGTTTATGAATTGAACATCAATTTAAATTACTTGAAAATATTTAAAGTTTTGTTATGAGCGCATATTGTGAATTATATTAGTATTAATTTATGCAACAAATAGGGTAAGGCGGGGCACAAAGGTCCAATTTGATTTATAACACCACAAATAACACATGTAAAACAAACAATTATCTGACTATGTTCAGTAAAACTCTCAGCTAATTCATCATTGTAAAATGTATTTTTTTTTGCTGTCTTTCAAAAGTTTGTCCTCTGGTCCTTAGAAAGGGTAAAATCGGACGGCCAGAGGGTAAACAGCTCCAGTGTCTTATTTTTAATTTTAAAGGGATTACACAAAATAATAGCTACATTATTTAACCAATAGACAGAACACTGTATTGATCAGGTATTTCCTCAGAAATATTCATCAAAGAGTTCGAATAACTATTTTTTCAGAAATATTTATTAGAGAGTTGAAATAACTATTTATTCAATTTATCTCTTGTAAAATTGCTTTTTTTAACTTTATTTACTTTTTCACTTACTATTTTTTATTGTTTACACCTTTTCAAGGGTAAAGGTTTAGTTGGTCCTTTTTACCGCACCCAGTTTTTATAAAAAAAAAACTGTTGAATCTAACTTAAAATTATCAAAACGTCTTATGAAACAAATAAATAACGTATACTTAATAGTTATATTAAACTAAACAACTGTGCTCATCACCAAAATACTAATAACAATACTTTTGTTATGGATTTTCTAACATTGCCGTTTATCTCCCGATAGCAACGTCGTAAGAATCAAAGTGTGGTTATTCATCTTTTTTCCTCTACTTTCAAATATTGTTGTTGAAAAGTTCTTAACATTACTTGATTTTGAGATATCGATGATGAACCTTATTACCCGCGGACCTTTAAGTCCCGTATACCATATTCAAACAATTTTCCATAATTTTAACAAATATTCAGCAATATTCAAAATATTTAACAGCAATCCAAAATAGTACAATTTTTATAAGCTCTTTGGCAGATTATATAAAACACATAACATATACAAAAATAAACTCTTACACATATACATATTTACACATTTACATTAACATATATTAATTTGCGTAAGTAGTCTCTCCAATGAGAGATTTACAAGTAAAGAGAAATAAAATTAAATTAATATAATTTAAATTGAATAAGTTGGCCAATTTCTTTTGAGACGTCTCATTATTAGGGAATTGAGCAGGGTAGTTATCAATTCTGGATGATCTTCAGGGATCTCGTATTTAACCCACTTTTAAATAATTTATTATCATTATTCAATACACATTCATATTTTGACAGCTATTAATGCATTGCCCATATTGTTGTAGAATGATTTTTCATTTTCAACTTTTCGAAAGAGAATACTTTTATAAGGAAATTCGCAAATTTTATGGTATCACATTTCAATACATTCTGTATCGTTGGACATGAAAATATCCACGTTATATTTCATCAAATTCTATAGTATTAATTTATCTGAATTATTTTTATTTTCTTTCCTTTAATTTTTTTTATCAAACTCTATTGCTAATTATTCGAAAAGTGTGTTCCAGTATTGATTTTATTTGAAAATTGGAGAAAGTATTTTGAACGCAAATGTTGCCTTTCATTAACATTGCTTTAAATACAGATGCACAATTTAGAAGTCGTTCGATTAATCTTGATAAAGAAAATAATTATGTAAAATTATTACGCAGTTTTACGTACTGAAAGTGTTTATTATTATTGATAATGATTGGTCATTCCTTAGTTATTAATTTATTCTTAAAGTATTTGTTTTAGTCTTATTGTTAGTACATGATATAGCGGTGCATCCAAGTTATGAAAAATGAGCTTTTGCATGTAAACTTGAAAAGAAGTTTAAAAAATAATTATTGATCACTGAATAAAATATTTAAATATTTTAAGTAAAAAAGGTGGGATTACAATTAGATTCGACATTAATATTGAAAAAGATTCAAAATGATATTCAAAATAAAAATTCGCATGCATTCGCATGAAAATATAATTATCATAGGATAGGAAATTATAGATAAATTAAATCATATATGACTTAACAATATTTGTGTGGTTCTATGTTGCCACTTTTAATAAAAATCATTTAAGACAACGAAATTATTATTACCCATTCGTATACAATATATTTACACGATCGAATATTTTAAATATAAATATTTTGTTAATCCACTTCCTTACAATATTGTCGTTAAAGTGATTATCGAAGTAGATAAAAGTGTTTCATCAGAGTGCGTCTATTAAACCTTATTTTATCGCAGTTTTATCTTTAATGCTGTAACCCTCAGATTTTTACTATTTATCACTTGGAAACTGATTACAAACTACATTTTCTAAAATTTGTGTAAAACTGTGAACAAAATATTTTAATAATCTATGGTATATTATAAACATTAAGAAATTTCAATAAGTTATAATATTTGCATTGTTTTTTCTGTAATTTTCGTCATTGAATTGTTTTTGCATACTTTACTAATCGTGTAATGCATCGTGACATTCTTACAATTAGTGTCGATTTATTTGTTTTAATATTTCTTATTGAATAATATATATATATATATATATATATATATATATATATTAAGGAAACAACATTGTTGAAAAACACTGTATAACTTGCTTTGAAAATCGTGCCACTTTTTTACGATCAGCAATAAATTTATTAATTCACCAGTTAGCTGGAAGAAAAGTAAATTAAATGGTAATTTGAACATTTGTCTACGTGAAAATACTGAAATACTGTCCTCAATACGATGGAATAGCCATAAAATCAAATTATACAAGAAAAGGCTAGCTAGTGGCACAACCGTCCATACCCCTGGACACATACATAATCATTTAAAGAATTACAGGGCTTATGTATATAATGTAACTATATATAGCATAACATATTTTTTAATAAAGTTGACAAGAAATAAACGGAATTATGCAATCACTTTTCTTATAATTACTAAGTCACCATCACGACTAGTTTTATTATAAATTTCTTCTAATTAATCAGTCAAAATATTACAGTAACTATATATCAACATACCGAGATTTAGTCAGAATCATAATTACAAATGTAAAAGTGACTATCACCTGCTTATTTTATGTGGAACCAGAAACTGCATGTAATTTAGCACTTAATCTGTTTTACGCCACCCCTACTTTCAGAATATGAGCTTCCACAAATCAGATAGAATCAATCTTTTTCTGTATTGCATTTTTATTTTCTTTTCTATTTAGTATTTTGTCTTAGTTCAGTTAGATTTTTCTTACATGTTCAGCCTTTCAACCGAAAAAGACATAAAAAACAGGTTACAACCGTACCCAACGCACAATTTGGATACAAAGCATCGTTTTGACGAAGCTAAATTACCTACGCAAAAACTAATTGCTGGTAATTAACTACTAATGATCAACTCATAACATAATAACAAACAAAGTATACAAGTATACAGTTATTATTAAAAGAAATCAAACAACAAAAACTTACTATTGACTCTTTAAAAGCAATGCGGTCTACAGATCATGTTAATGTAGGACGCTGACTCAATGCGATAATAGAAACTTGTTCGAACAAAAATACTTTATCTTTCTCCCTTTGAACCGTTTCTCAAAATCAGTATAGTTTATCAGTTATGATTATATGTCACTCCCGTGCTATGGCACAACCGTACCGTCTCTTCTTAATGATTTTCTGCATTAATGTTTCCAGTTTATGAACTTTCTTTCAGTGTCTAAAAAAATATGTACACCTTAGTGTAACGATATTTAACAAATTCATTATTCCACAGAATTCACTACTATTCGTGTATAAATTTCATTTTTTGTAAATTATGAAATTTATACTTGTTACTTGTCTAATTAAAGCTCGGCACTAATACGTACCTATATATGATTATAATTTATATTTTTTTCAAAGTGATTAATTTTTATGATGTCTGCAGTGATATTATGATTTCGTATTATTTTCTCTAATATATAGAGTTCTGTAGAATCTATATTATAATTAACTAGCCGGCCCGACAGACTTCGTCGTGTCAAAAGAAAAAAATGTAATGTGGCGGTGTTTTGTGCCTACCTTTTTTCTATTCTTTGCAAAAAATTATCCTGAACAGAACCGTCACCCTGGTAATAATTCGGTGTGAATTAAAAATAATTAAATAAAACACCATAAACATTTAAAAGTAAGTAATTTTAACCATGTAAATCATAATTCAAAAATAAGTTCAATTTTCATTGTAGTGCTTTGTGATAAACGATGTTTTTTGTTTGATTACCTGGCGCATAGACAAACAAATCTGATGGTTTTCCAATACGGAAACAAACAACATACAATTTTTCATGTGAGAAACATGGGTTTTCTAAATTAATATCACAAACACTTAATGCAGCGGTTTCCAACCTTTTCTTCCTTGCGCCCCCTTTTCGAATGAAAAAAATATTGCGCCCCCCCCCCTTCTTATTTTTCTAACAATTTAATTTAAATATACTTAATATAACTGAAATTATGCCAAATAATACACAGTATTATAAAAATATACATGCAAACATAACTATTTATTATAAGAATTTTTTGTTTCACATAAGTAAGATCTCACATATGGTGATAAAATTTCTAAAGCATTATTTGTCAAAGTGGGAAAATCGTCCTTTACTGGTAACCAAAACTCAACAACATATTTTCGTCCTAAAACATCTGTTTCAATGTGCTATCACTAAATAAATCAATTATCATTTTCTGCTCTGCTGTTGAATGACCAAAATCATCATGATACTCAATGACAAATGGATTTCTAATCCATTCGTATTTGGACGTAATTAGA